ACACACACACACACACACACACACACACACACACACACACACACACACCAGTTCCATAAAGCAAACCACAAAAATGTTTCTTTGACTTCATCCCCTCTCCTTTTCTCCTTTCCCCCCTAATTTGGCTTGTAAAGACGTCAAGGAGTTACAATATATGAATTACCAGGATCTATGACAACTGAAAATCAATAGCATTAGGTAGACGGAGATGAACTAACGCTGGCAGAGAGAGCGTGTTAGCAGGAAGTACAGGAACAACAATCACATACAAGGATCTCTGGACGATGATGTAAAGTCATAGTTTACAAAAATCACAAAGAGAAGCATCTTTTCTAGAAAGCCATAGTGCACAGTCCTGGGCATGTGGCTGTCTGCTACGGTTGGTGTGGTTCTTGTACCAGTGTCAAGGTACATGCTTCTTTTCTCATGCAAGTGCCAGGATGTACTTCAGGCTTCCTACTCTGTCCACGTGTACCAAGTCCTCTCCAAGTCAAAAGCAAACCACACAGCATGTGACACATCATTACAGGTACCTTTTCGCTGTGACTTGCATATTTTCAAGTTGACACTTTAGCTTGGGGAAATAAGACAATCTTTATCTTTTATTGATAAAGAAATAAAAGAACATTCATAGACACCCACTCCTAAAAATAACTATACCTAATCAGTGAAGCCCCTTTTGTCCCCCCTCCTGAGAAAGTAGAAAAACTCTCCAAGAGGAGCCATGTAACTGGATAACACCACAAAGACCATCAATGTACTTTCTTTGTGGGGATGACCACAGACTCCAGGTCTAGCAAGTGGAATGCCTTACACTTGATCCCACCCTGTCATTAGGATGTTTGAGATGCCAGACAAATTGTTTGGCATCGTTTACTTAAGGCTCTTTCATCACCAAATCAGGTGAACCCCGAGGCCTGACTGATAGAAAAGGTTCGTCTGATCTGTTTCATAGTTGGGACCAGGAGACACTGCCTAGCAATGGCCATTGCAGAGTAAGGAGCAACAGACAGTCGACGATGCCAAGCAAGACCGAAGACATAGGATGACTGGCTTGTTTGGACATCTCTATCCATACACGATATAAGCAAGACCTATAAAATGGGTTCCTCTCATTCTTAACTCCTAGGCAAATGCAAAGCTGCCGGGAAGCCAGTCTCTGCTCTGACAGACAGAGGACGTCAGGAACGAAATGCTGATGTTCATTTGTGTGAGATGGGTGAAAATCGCTTCAGTAATATAATGAATTGTAATCAATGCAGTAAAAATACACTCTTTTTCCAAAACCCAATCACCAAAATGGATGGCAGTTTACTCGAACCATTGCCTCTGACCACAGATCAACTCAGGATACTCCCCCACCGCATTATGATCTCCGAAAAGAGATGAAGAGGTCTTTTGTCAAGATTAATTTTGCTTTGTAACCCTTCAAGGGGTGGTAGGTGGATCAGAGGCACTTGAAGCAGCCTCTACTTTACTCTGTTGGGCCACTTCTCCACTGGTCCATGAAGCAGGAAAAAAATTAAAGTACTCCTTCTATACAGATTAATCGTAATCAGTGGGAGGGCACCTGGTGAGTCAACCTGCGTTTCCCATTTAACTCCTTCAAGCTCACACACATTCTGCTATTTTCACTGAGTCAGGAGACTGGCTCAAAAAAGGTTTTCTGCCCTCTGTAAGCAAGGATCAAGCAAGCCCATTTCTTCAGTTTGTTCATTTGCATTTCAGAAGGGGTATCAAGCCGGCTGGGATCTAAGTGCCTGTTAGCAAATGTGCTTGGCCTTCTGCTGATTACAGCAGCATCTTGTTTTCTCAGTATTAGAAATGTCTTAGCCTTGCCACCTGGAGCTACAGCACTTACTCATTAGATCCCTCTGTCCCAGCACATCCCACAGGGGCTGTTAATTACTGGCTTTACTCCATTCAGTCTCATCTCTGATTTAATTACGTGCACTAAGCCCTAATGAAAAGTACAGTATGGCTGTTCTTACCTTGGCATTCACCATTCTGTTCCTCATGCCCAGCATTGCATAGGCAGTTGCCAATGGGTACCAGCCATTCACCATCTGCCCCACAGTACATTTTTGGCACATCCTTCTCTTCTGAGTTGTTGACACAGGAGCCTCGAACTTCCACCAGGGAAGAAGTATCAGCCCCAGTGATGGTATCGGGAAACTGGGCTAGATTTCGAACGGTGAGTGGACACTTCTTGTAGAACACACGGACAGACACCAGGGCGATGCAAGCACCCACATCCTGAAAAGCCAGGTAAAACCCCTTCTTGCTCAGTGGCCCAACATCCCGGATCTCGGTGTTGAGCTTCATGATTCTGTCACCAATGTCCACCTGCGTGAAGCTCTCATCGGCTGCGATGGTGTCGATCTTGCCGAACTGGCTCTCTCTGATGAAGCGCTCCTTGTCGTTGTCCGATTCATAGTAGTAGAGGTTAAATGTCTCCTTGCAAGTCCCCATGACGCCCGGAAGACTGTTGCAGTCCCTCAGAGTGAACTTAATTTCAATGTACACCCTCTGCGCCCCTTCTCGGGTGATCCAATCAGTTCGCAGCCAGTTGTTCTGGCTGGCTTCCATCACATTGCACACCTGATAGGTTCGGATCGGTGTATTTTTCTCATCCATAATGCTCACTTCCTCCCACTGCAAAGATCCAGAGAAAATGTTATCAATGAGAAAGTTTCATCAGAGATTCATCCACACTGAGGACAGTTATCCTTCCAAGAGTGAAGAAAATTACTGTGCACCAACCCCCTGCCACCGGAGGGGAGTATCTTATGGGCTATTTTGCTATTTTCTTGAACTCCCCAACCCCACCCCGCACCTCTCTGCGATCCCCCCTCCTGCTCCCCATACACATTGCTTCACTTTTCTGCCTAAAACAGGCAACAGTGGATTTACTACTTGTGTGTTCTCAGCAGTTCTTGTGGCGGTCCAACAACCTCAAATCCACCTATTATAAGAGCTACAGCTACAAGTGGCAACATTTACTTATAAATGAAAAAAAAAAAACCTGTATGTGTGTTTGTTTCAACTACTAATCAGAAACCTGCAAATTAAGGGCAGGAAGAGTAGAGTTTGCCAATGGAAGACAGTTATCAGTTAATTAGCAGTGTTCCTGTCAGAACTTTGCTCCCTAATACTTTTTTTTTAAAAAAATGACTTTTGCTTTTTTTTTTAAAAAACAAAACAAAACATTAGTCTTTAAAGGGAAAAAAAGAAAATTCCACCTGGTTTCAGTAAACCTGGGAAGACATTTCCTGACTGCATTTCTTAAATATACTATCACAGGAATAGAAAACTTTTCAGAGCCCACACTGAATTGCTAAGTGTCTGTGCACATTTTATTTTTAAAACACACACACACACACACACACACACACACACACGTAAACAGAGTCAATGAATGAGTGCTTCGATTCTAATTAGTCACAGCCAGTTAAAGTAAAATAGTAAGTGGTATTTATGACGGAAAGCCCAGGCAAGAAAATTAACAGGAGACTGAGCTGTTTTCGTTGCATTCTACTTCCTGACACACAGACTCTGATGGTGGGCAATGGCCATGCTCAGGGACTCATTTTGAGCAGAGCGCTAGTCTCACCCCTCCTATAGTAAAAGCAGAGAGGCAGTTTGGGTTACATCTAAATCCTGGCTGCTTTTAGACTGCTAGACAGCCTCCGATTCTTCATTAACATTTAAAATAATGCAGATTGATATAGATCTGGCATAAATCAGCTCAAGTACCTAACAGAAATACAATTAGAGTGGAAAAAAGAGAGTTTTGAAAAATGTGTATTCCACAGTAGCACATCCCCTCTCACAAGTATCCTAATGTATCTTTCAACAGGTCCCCATCCTTGCAGGGGAAACTCTTAATGGACAGGAAGACTATTTATGAAGGGCTACAATGCATACAATTCTGTATTAGAATCTTTTGCTCTTGTTGTGAAAGTTGGAACTGAGGCTGTTGAGTGTCCTGTGGTGATTATCATTGTTATCATTATTAATCTGGTAGGCAATACATTATCAGTAGTTTACTTGTTTGAGGGAAAACTCATGTAAATCTAAAACTAGATTTTGCATCAAAAATACCTGCTCGGCATGCCTCTCATCCCAGAACAAAGATGAACTGGAGAAGCACATTTATTCTTGTAAATGAAAGGACAGAGAGTTCTCTGTAGAGCCCCCATAGGGTAATTCAGGTCAGGTGAACGTCTATCCTGAACTGCAACGTATTAACGCATTGCTCCATGACACATGGCAACCAGGAATCATCTCTTAGTTGCTTATTTCATAATCACCACTGTACACAGCACACCCATTTAAATGAGCACTGTCAGAAAGGAGTGCCTGGTACGAGCTGCCAGCAGCAGCCAGCCTTCACTTGCCACCATTATCCTGTCCTTCCTGATGGCTCTCTGAGACGTGCAGCCATCTCCCATGGTATCTCATGTGTTACTTGGGGGTGTTGGCAAACTGGTTTAAGAGTATCTAAAAGGATATGTTCCATGTGAAGGCCATTATTAGGCACCTCTCCAGTTTCCAACAAAGATAATACTCTGCCTACAAGGAGAGACCCCTGAACAATCAAGACCCCATATTTTTACCATTAACTTGGACTTTTCCAAGAAAATCCATTTCTAGTCAGTGGATCCTCAGAATTTACTTTCATTCTAAACCTGAAAAGGATTTCAATGATAAAAACGTAGAGATTAACTGAACTTTCAACATTGACTGTTTTCTCAATGTCTTTGAATGACTTTTAAGTTAGGTGGTTTTTTTTTTTTTGGTTAGTATATAAAATAGATTTTATCATATGTGTGATATGTGTATAAAATTTTCACATGTATATGCCAAGGAGTCTTGATCTGCAAACCCTGATACTCCTCCTCTTGCTGATCTCTTTCCTGCACAATCTGCTTTCCTGTCTCACACGTGCACACATGCATGTGTGCAAACACACACACAAGTATGTATATGTGTAGATATATGTATATATACATATGTCTGTGAATAGATTCTACATATGAAAGATAGCATGTTGACACTGGGCCTTTCTTTTTCACCATCCCCCTCTCTTGTTCCCGCAGAATGACCAATTCTGAGGTATACTTGTAAAATTTCATGTCTGACCTTGTAATAATAATAATAGCTGAAATGGCACACATCTCATAATGATGAAGGAAAAAAAACTGAGTACAAGTCCATAGAAAGTTCTGGGTTGTGCACAGTAAGCTATGCATAGTGGCTTTAGTAGTGGTTTTCCTTTTTTTAAATAGAGACTTCAAAACAACTAAAAGTTTTGTGTCTAGAAAATGTGACTAAGCACTCTTCCACAGCAATTCTACAGGAAGAGGAGAAAAGATGCCTGCATACTAAATTCCAACAAATGTTTTCTAGAAACCAGACAGACCATAGACTATACTTTCAAATGTGTCACTCCTTGGTTTACATAGGCCAAGTGTATACTTAGTGAAACAAGCTAGGTTGAAAATGATCTTAGCTGTATTCTGTCTTCATGCTTGGGGCAGGAAGAAAGAGAAAGGAGGCTTTACAATTTTTGAATAAGCACAGACTCGCCATCCTCAGTTTTGTTGGCTAGTAGTTGTCATACATTCTAACCTAGGGAGGGGAATTCCCAGTGGAGCCTGGGCAAGCTTCCTCTGGACCAGTGATGTGTCCAGAGTCCAGATTAACACTGAGTTTGACTCACAGCAAGATAAAGCTGTATCTTTCTTCACATTCAACGGATGAGGGCAATTGCCTGCAATCAGCACTGAATACAGCCTGTCTACACTACCAGAGGCCTGCCAATCACTTTTCCTCTCTTAGGTTTTAAAAAAAAAATGGTTTGGGAGACAGAACGGAATTTTTTATCAAAGACCAAGCCAACAGCAGGCAGTCAAGTTCAGTCAGAGAGACAGGAAAGCAGGGCAATCTCTGTTTTATTTCAAATGGATTGTAGGGCCTGCTTTGATCCCTCAGGTGTTTTTTTTTTTTAATGACTATTTAATTGCCCATTCTTAGTTTTGAAATACATATTGTATAATAGTGTCTATGAATCTTTTTGATGAGTTTTTTGTCAATTCTTTATTCAAGGGTGCAGAACATCATGCCGGGTGCTGGCAGGACGATGTTTGCCTTGCAAGACTCCTAATCTTTGCTTCTTCATTGTTTTTGATCAGCTGACTCAGTCAGAAACTATCACGCATGTCACAGTCAAATGCCTTGCTTACTTCTTTAAAGGATGTGAGTTATTTCAATCCAGGGCCCATAGTCAGAGATACAAGCTGTCCTGACTTCTTTAGGTAACTGACTCATTTGTGACCTGCTGCTCAGGGGGAAGGGAGGATGTGGTGACTACGCAAGGGGGTCTTCTGCTAGCGATGGTCATGTAGAGTTCTACAGTTTCCTTGGCTGAGATATGAAGGATGTGCCCCTGGTTTGCAGAGATCCAGACTCCAAATGCTTAAACTTTTAAATTGAATGCTCAAAGCCTGGAGGACTTTTTGGATTTACAAGCTTCTGGCAGAAACTTCCTTAACCTGCAGCTGATTTAAGATCAGGACCACAAGGTAAGGAGGCTGGCCTCCCCGCTGCTTTGGTGTGTATAATTGGAGATGTTTTCTTTCTGGTATCTTTTATATTCTCTTTCTTCATCTGGAAGCAGAACAATTGCTCTAAAATTAACCCCACCAGGACTCCATGACCACCAGAGTAATAGGCATAAATTCTAATTTGGTCTCCAGATCATATTTCTTGTAGGTATTTTAGTTTTAAATAGGCATCTAAGTCTATGCTTCCACCAATCTCCTAATTTTGAAGCCCCTTTCTGCCCTTTTGGTTTCTAGCTCTTCCATGACAGAACTATCCAAAGGGAGTATTGGATTTCTCCAACAAAGCGTAATTCACTTCATAGGCCACAGCGGAAATCTGACCCCCTCACCACAATCACCGAGAATCAAGCCATTAGACTCTCAGAAAGTGGCTAATCACTCTTTTTTTTTTCCCCCTCTTGCCTCGGAGAAGGCCTTAGAACTTACCCCTCCTTCCAGAGGGCTTGCTATCCACCCAAGCTCTCCCTGAACAGATCTGGAATCCAATAAAGTAACTGCAAAAAAAATATAAAAAAAACACAAAGGAAAATAGATTAATTTCCAATTGCAAAAAGCCAATAATACAAAAATCATTTGCCTGAGCGTTTCCATATGTGTTGAGGGTGCGGATAGCCAATCTGATCAAAACCGAAACTCGGGCCCACTTATGTAAATAACCACTCCTCACATGATCCTCTCTCCTCGTTACATCTGCAGGTTCTTCTTTATTTATTTAACTTGCTTAGCATTTAAAATTCCATCTGAGGACCCGATTGATTCATTTTTTTTCTTTCCTAAAAAGGATGAATAGAGCATCGCAAGCACAATTCAAACAAAATAAATCTATCAATGTAGGACAGCAACACCAGAGAGCAAAGTCTGCATTCATCTCTGTCTGCTATCTACTAGATGGTATTTGTTTTTGCAAGCCTCAGATGACCACATAACTCACCGGTGGTGGTGACAGACCCACAAGTGAATGCTATCAGAGGACCCGAAGGGTCATGGAAAAGGCTCTTTCCTCCCTCCCCCTGAGCCCCCCCACCACCAAATAAATACAGGCCCCCTGTATGCACCCTCTGCTTTTTAAATATCTAAGTTCCAGCAAGAAGGTCTGCCAGACTGGTAAGGTTAAAATGAAAATGCACCGGAGTAGTCTCTTTTTCCTAGGTCCTTTGGAGGACAACCGAGATGAGCCCTCCACCCCCAGGAAATGGCTGGTTTGAATTTTAGGTATGGAGTGCTGCCTAATGGATTTAGTATGCTTACGCTACACCTAACATTGGGCCTCCAAGCTAGGGGGAAGGGAGAAGACGCCTCTAGAGCGGCGGTACCCTTCCTTTTCAGGGTGGAATAAGGCTTTAGGTGCCTGTGACATTGAAAGAGAGGCAATGAATTCGAAACCTATCCACATTGCCCTTCCCACCACGATCTTCAGGCTTGGGGTCGAAAGGCCCATCTAAAAGAAACCCTTTGGGTTATTAATTTGATCAGGGAGGTTGGCTCTTCGGGCTGGGGGAGGGGTGGGAATGGGAGGCCCCTGTCCTGGAGGCCCGAGTACCCCAACTCTGTCAAACCCCCAAGGCCTGGAATTCTGCCCACCTCCCCTCATTTTACCCCTCAAATCCAGGAAGTTAAAAGCAACCCCTTTGCCCTAGCTCCTGGACAGGAAAAAATCCTGTATTCCTGGGTTCTATTAATTATTCTAAAATGTAGAGCCTCTCCCGGTCGTTCCCGCCTGGAGTTGTGCTCCCTTCTCTTCCCGGTCCCTAGAGAAAAGCCCGCTACATCCACTTGGATTTATGTAAGGTGGATTAGGGACACAAAGGGAACAATAAGACCCAATTTACAAAAAAAGGGAGGGAGTAGGAAGGGAGGGTAAAAGGGAGAAAAGGAAACGTGACGGGAATAAAAAGCAACAAAATGAATTAATTTTTAAGAGAAGGAGGGGCAAGGGGGTGCAGCCCCCCTCTCTTTCAACATTAGCCTACGGTTCCATCGAGCGCCTTTTTGTCTAGGGTGCCCAGTCTTGCTTCCCAAAGGAAAAAAAGGGGGGGAAATTAAAGGTAAAAAAGAACCCTGACTCTAACTGTCTCCGCGTCTGGGGCGAGAGAGGTCTCTGGAGACACTTAACAAGTGTGTAAAGTAAGTAGCCAGGAGAACCCGAGGTACGCGGTTCCGTTCAGAGGAAAAGCCCCAGGGACAGAGCGGCAGCGGTTGCCGAGGTGCTAAATCGAAGCCACAACCCTCGGAATGAGGAGGTGGAGTAGGGGAGAGACCACTCTTTTACCCCTACTGCCCCCTCCTCCGCCCCAGCACTGCCTGTGGGCAGGTGTATGACAGTGTCCAAACCTCTGCCGGGAGAGCTCCGGGTACCCTCTGCCTAGCCAAGCCTAAGTTGGTTTTTGGCTCCCTCCTTCGGAACAGAAAAAATGATAGTGGATTGCACAGGAATAGCTAGATGGACTGATGCCTGGAGAGACAGGAGGATGGATAGATGGATGGATGTAGGGAGTGGGAAGAATCGATGAGACAGATGCACAGCTAATGCGTGCAGGTTGGAACACGAACATAGGCCGGAGCCCACGTTCACACACTATGCGCACTCGCTTACCCGGCACAAATCGTCCAGGTTCATGCAGACACCCGCGTCAGGCACACATTTGCTCTCAAACACCACACACACACACACACACACACACACACACACACACACACGAGAGGAGGAGGGAGACAGAGACAGAGAGACAGAGACAGAGAAAGAGACACACAGAGAGTGCTTTTTTTCCCCTCTAGGCCCATCAGAAACTAAATGGTCACCACCTCTCCCCTCACCTCGGACAGAAACACAGACAAACAATCCTTCCAACGTCTCAATAGACAAGCAGAAAACAGCACACGAATGGGTCCCGTCGGTCATGCCTGTCCTTCTAGACTAGTCCAGTACAACATTTCGGAGAGAGAAGCTTAAAGTGGGATATGTTTCACTCCCTGACTGGACCTACCCTAGGTTTGCTGGATGATTTAAGGATCTGGGGTAGGTGAGAGGTAGGCCTGCTATTGCAACCTCCAGGGTGCGCGGCCCGATGGAGAAAAAGGTGTTTGAGGCCCGATGCTAGAAATCAGGTCACCGGCGCCCGACAAGCGGCGCCACCACCGCTGCGCTGCGGAGACCAAGCAGCCGGGTCCCGGGAAGCGCAGCGCTGGGAAAACTTTGCAGAAACCCGGGCTTGCAAGGTTTGGACAAGAGGCCGGGAGCGCTAAGCCTTCACTGCACTCTACATTCGCGGTTCCCTTCTCGCCTATGCTGCTGCTGTAGAGGACTTTGCTAACACATTTTTTTGTTGTTTTGTTTTCAAATCCCAGTGTATCCCCTCGGGGCGCCTGGAGCGGGCCCCGCAGGCGGATGCTGATAAACTTTGGCCTTTCGCTACAAACTTGGGGAGAGTGGCAGCTTGCATCGGTCACCCCTCTCAGTTCAAACTGTCTGATCCTCCTCAGTCCTCACTTAAAGGATCCCCTCTGTCCCGCACCCTTCTCCGGAGTGGGGACGCGAAGCTCACGCCACGCTCTCCACCCCCCGCCCCCATCCTAACTGGTTCTGAGCTCCCGAAGACCATTCATCAGTGAATCACCCACTCCAGGTCCCGGACCGCGTAAGGGCTGCCCGGCTCTTACCTTCATTCGCGGGGTATACCCTAGAACCGGTGACAGCGTCGCAAATTCCAAAGAGAAACGAAAAGAGGATGAAATAGAAAATCCCAGCCATGGTTCGCCGGTGCCAACGCTGCTCCTGCCGCTTCTATCCCAGTGGAATAAATGCTTAAGTTAGGAGTGCAGCAGTCTGAAGACATTGCCAAGAGGGTGGGCCCGGCCTGTGACGTACACCCGCCAGTCCGGAGCTCATGACCAATGGCAGTGCAGATTCGGCGCCACGTCCCCACCCCCACCGCGCAGAGCCCACCCCGAGGTCCCGCCCCCTCCAGCCTCCGCAGGGCTCAAGGTCTCCGGAGGTTGGCTCCGCAGCAGGGATGGGTCTGTGCCCCACGGGAGCTCCCGAACCTTGTCTCGATCCTCGGGAATCGATCCCCTGGACGGCAGAGGAACTTCGAGAGACTCTGAAAGGACAGCGGGGAAGGCCAGAAAATGTTAGCAGTCCCCGCCGGGCCCCAAGTCCGGAGGCGTACGAGGGAGAAAAGACTCCTGTGGAGACGAAATAAGTCAGAAGTTGACGTGCACCTTGGCTCTTGCCCCTTGCCGAGGTTGTCGGGTCGTTGTATTGCCCACCTCGGCTCAGGTCGGGCGCTCTCGGCTACACCCAGCCACCCTCATTGCCAGGTTTTGTGTCTTTATGGCGCTCCTCCATGGGAAATGCTTTGGGCTGGGGGACTTTCGTAGCTTGGATAATTCCTTTCCTTCTTAGTTACCTAGCCAAGGGGGGCCAATCGTCTCCAATGTCTCCCCAGCAGCAGAGCGCAGCCACATGTCCCCAGTCTTTCTAACGTCGGGAAGTGACCCCTGGCCAGGTCCAGGTGTTCACATCAAACGAGTCCACTACCGGACTATGAAGGGTGAAATCACCTCGAGACAGCCCTAGCTACCGGGAACTCACTGTGCACTTTCCAGGGAGAGTCCCTGGAACCACGTCTAGCCATCCCGAACACCTAGGTGTAGAAAGGGAAGGGTGTAAGAATGCAGACACCTGCTGCTGCACAGAAGGGACAGACGGAGGGTCGCAAGCTGCCTGGAGCAGCTACTATGGCTCTAAGTTCCGACGTCTCCCCGGTGCTGATTGGGACAGTCTCCCAGGAGACCAAGATGAGAGGCTCTATCCGCAGAAACTTGTCCCACATCCCCGCGTTGTTCTGGGTGTCAACCATCGACTTCCCAGAGACGCAGATACCATCAGGTCCTCGGATACCCAGGCCACCAGGGAAGCCAATTGAGCGCCAATCGCAGACATCAGCTCAGCTAGCTAACTGGGGACCCGCCCCGGTTGAAATTGGGTGGCTGTTCCCCAGGCGTTTGAAGAGTTGGGATTCCAAAAGACCCACCTTCCGTGCTCCCTCAAGCCGCCTCTCCTTTGGCTCCCTCCCAGGCCAGATTTTCCTCCTCCAAGTCTGGATCTCAGACTGAGATCTGTGCTTAGAGAGGAGGCACTTTGCAAACAGCCGGGGCAGAGGCTCTACGTGAGCCAACCGCGCCACCTGCCGGCCAGATGCGGGACCGCGCGGGGCTGGAGCAAGGCAGAACGGACAAAGACCTCAGCCAGCCAGACAGGTAGACCAAGCCACCAAGCCGGGCTAGTAATTATTTGGCTAGGTTCTCCCGTACTACGGTACAGAAAGTCCTGTCTCACCTCCCTCCACCTAGACTACGAAAGACGGACTTGGAAAACGTTTCATAGAGGAAACTTCACATTCAAAGGATTTCATGAGTAGCTTGTCTCCATAATTGGGAATATGGAGTAAAAATCCGAGCATCACGTCAAGGTGTGGAGCAGGTAGAAAATCCAGTGTGGCTCCAGGCCCTTTCTGAATAGTCACGGAGAACCAATCGCGTTTCCTGTCTAGGGCTGGAGAACTGTGCATGCAAACTCAGACCCGGACTAATCACACCAGCAACTTTTGCAGAAGGCCAGAGTGCGGCGATGGGCAGTAGCTGAGTCAGTTGTCCAGAGGGACAGCCTGTAAGGCTCCTGGCATTTTGACTTTGCGGTTTGGAAAAACCTATTGGAATGTCACCCACTGGAGAAGTGGATTTCCGTTATTGTAGCTACTGATTTTACATCAGTGAAGCGCGGGGGTTGGGGAACTATGCACGGGGGACTATAAGTGTGTGCATAAATTATTAAAAATAACCACGCTAAGTCCCCCTAAGCAAAGTCTTATTCTTTCACGTGTCTTTCTGACTTTTACAGAAAAATAAATAGGTAAGGATCTAGGTCCCTATCGTTTGGCACACAGATTGAGAAAGGAAAAGAGCAACCCAAACTCTTGGAAAACATTTTTAAACAATAGATGCCGGTTGTGTCTCGGCAGGAGAGTGAGTACTGTGTATTTTCTATAGTTGGGATAGAAAACTACCTGCCTGTCTCGCTGAAAGCAGCAACATTTCCAAAGCACGCATCCCACCCCTTGCGCACACTGAATATTAACCGTCTTCTCTGGCTAGAGATGCTGAAAAAGCAAGGCTGAAGCGAGAACACGTTCTTCTTCCCTTGCCTACCTTCTCTTTCATTCATTTCTCAGACCCCAGGCAACCCAAGAAGCTAAAGGAGAACTGGGGGTTGGGGGGAAACTTGCCTTGTAATCTCCTCAGTGATCTCACTGAGGCTGCTTGCTGTCTAGTGACCCCCCCCCCCCAAAAAAAAGAGAACACTTCCCTGGCCACTGGGACGACATCTAGGCCGAACGAATACAATTCTTTAAATAGCGCAGAAATGAAAACATAGTACTGACCCTGGTGACCACCAATGCAGAACTGCCCGGTGCAGTGTATACTCTAAGACCTTGGGGTTTTCTAGTGTTCCCCTCTTTATAACAAACCAGTGGAGTCACATAGACACAAGAGAATGCTGGAGTTGCAGCTACCACCCAAACCACTTGCCACTAAAATAAAATAATTCACACAGTGTCGCACACACCTTTAGTCCCAGCACTCCAGAGGCAGACACAAGCAGATCTCTTGTGAGTTCCAGGGCAGTCTGATCTGAATAGTGATTTCTACCCACAGCTATACAGTATGACCGTGTATCAATATATACAAACATTGAATAAATATAAAATTAAATCGCTGGATTTATTTAGGTGAAAGGACCTAAGTCCTTATAAGGACTTCACCTAAGTCTTATACATAAGAATTCAGGTATAATTTGGGAATGCTAAGAGACACACCAAAACATTTGTGCTAATAATCGTACTGAGAAGGATCATTTAGATAACCTTTTGTCTTTTTGGTATTTTGCCTCCCACAAAGATTTGAACTTAAAAATTAGACTGAATGCTGAGTTGAATTAAGGCTAGATTTTAAAATATTTTTAACATTAAAAATGTTAATTTGTGTGCGTGTGTCTGTGTGTGTGTGTGTAAACCATATATTTGAAGGTACCTACAGAGTCCAGAAAAAAAAGCTTCAGATGCCCTGACAGATTGTGAGCCACATGACATGTGAGGGGCAGGGAGTGGGGAAGGCTGGGGACCAAACTCTGATTCTATGGAAGTACATCAAGTGTTCTGAACCACTGAGACATCTCTTCTGCCTCCATATCAGTCCTTATACTGATAAACTAATAAGTGTAGCTATAATTGCATTGAGAAATCACCAAGAACTTGGCAATATTCCTTTCCATAAGAACCTGAGCACTCAGACCTTTCTTCTGCACTACACGAGAATGGGGGACAGGCATGTCTTCTTTAATTCCTGGAATGGAAGGGGGTGGGAAATGACTTTGAGTTTCTTCCCTTCCCTCGTTGTTGGTTGAGGACAGCTTGCTTACCTTTGTCTCCTAGATTCTGGATGAGTCACCAGGATCTGAGGCTGGGATCCTACCTCTGAGAATAATAGTTTGAAAAAACAACCAAGAAAACCAAGAAGAAAGAGTATTCAGGGTCACCAATCACTCTCACCTTCTCCAGAAAAACCTTTACATTCTTAACCACCACTGCACATATTCCTGGAGTACTCAGGAAGCTGGATGGGAGCTTTCATTCTCTGATGTCAAGGTATGGTGTAGTATCGTATGCAAATGAGAAACTGGGCCCTTATCAGCCCTTTACACCTGAGTGGGAAAGATGGCAGCAGAGCTCAGGTTTTGCTGGATCAGAAAAAAAGGAGAATAGGCCACAGCGTGAGACCTTCGGAAGAAGACAAGGGCTGGCTGGAATACTTCAGGTGCTGTTTGGACTCTACTCACTTCAAACCAACATTTCACTGGTCCTGGCAATATACCTTGCTTATAAGGGGTCATCAGTTCCTTCCACGAGGTAATGTGACAGACCAGAGAAATGGTCACAAATCTTTCCCTTTGCAGCCCACAAGGATGGTGGAGAGAGCAAGGGACAATCCTACCCCAGATCTAAAGCCTTCCAACTAAGTTTCAGATGATGGGGGAGGGGGCAAAATTCAGACCAGACACTTTGTATCTGTTCGGGGCTACACTGTAAATGCCAGCTTAACTTAAGAATTTCTTTATTTTTTAAACATGCCCAAATGAAGTGTAAAACGCTCTTTATTCTGCATAAAATCTATGATACCATTTCCCTCATTCAATTGCAAAACTGAAAGTCAATCTATATGTCACAGTTATTAAATATCTTTTTAAAAAGATATACTTACTTGTATATTTTATGCATATGAGTACTCTATGTACATGTCTGCCTACATGCCAGAAAAGGATGAGAGAGAAGAGGGCATAGGATCCCATTATAGATGGTCATGAGCCATCATGTGCTTTCTGTGAACTGAACTCAAGACCTCTAGAACAGCAGCCAGTACCATTAACCGATGAGAACGAGCTGTCTCCAAGCCCTCATATCCTAGTATTATAATGGCTAAGGTAGAAATACAAAAAGCCTTTTGGGTATTATCATTGTTTTCTGATAATAAACTAATGGTCATATATGTAAAAAACATAAAGATCGTACAATTTACAAAAGCCACGTTGAGAGAGAAATAATTACCTGTTTAGAATACTAGTTGATAAGCTCACAACTGCCACCCCTCCCCTCCCCCCTCCCCCCCCTCCTTTTCCCATTTGGAAAAACAGTG